GTTCTTTAAACCATATTTGACATTTTTGCCATTGTGATTTTATGGGTAGAGAAGAATTTACTCTTAACCTTATATTGTAAAATATTATGACGTGTCCCTCTGAGTCCTTCTAAAATGCTGTTGTGCAATTTGTTTTTATTTTATGCACTTCTTTATACATTTTCTTTATTCTGATTAACGGGTTTTTTATTTTTAAGTTTATATCCTTAAAAGGTTTGAAGCAAAACAACCGAATCAGGAAAAGAGCTGTTGTGAAGAGTTGAACTGTGTCACTGGCTCAGATGGATGTGCAGAAAGATTCAACTAAAAAGCATAGAAGAACCGAAAACATCTCAAGTCTTTTTTATTCTATGTTGCTGTCTGAATTTCTGTATCATGAGAAGACTGAATGGAAATTCACTCTTCGCCTGCGACTGTGATTTAAATTTTTGCAAAGTGAAAGCTGTAATAGAGCTAAGATAAAAGGAGGTTTATTAATGGAACCTCCGTCAGAAACGTCACGATAGTCTGGCAGGAACTTTAGGTTTAAATTTTATAAGGAAATGCCATCAAATGACTGCATCTCACATGAGACCAGTTTTTGTTCATTTTACTGTACGCCCAGCAGGCATTCAGAAGTGCTGAGTGCTTTATTCTCGATGGCATCTCACCTCCAATTCAACAAAACTTACGCCGTTATGCTGCGAAGACAGCATTGTCATTGCTATTCACTATAATGGAAATCAATCCCTACATGACTTTCAATTTATTTGCATGAATAAATAATGTGCCCTTAATTCAGCTCACTAAAGGAGCCGGAGCCCAATGCTGCAGTACTTTTTATGCAACTATTAGCATAAGAGAGGCTGAATCTTTTAATCAACTAATAATGGATGTTAGGGGAGCCTGTTCAGACCGCACCATGAGACCTCACACAGCTATCACACAAACATGCCTGATTATACACACAAACGGAAAGCCAAGAATGTACCTAAATTACAACAAAACCTGATAACCAATTAAAACCACAGTCTCTTATTCTCCATTTTTCTACACTCTCTCTCTCTCTAATGCCAGCCTGGATGCTGAGTCTTTTCACAATCACTGTGTCACAGAGTCACAGTGCAAAACTTTTTCACTCAGAACCACTCATCTAAAATTAATACCTGTTTTCTTCACGCAATAAGATCTTCAATAAATTTAAAAGTGGTAGCTTTTCAGGCTATTAGACGTAATATCTAATTTGGTACTTTGGTACTGTTTTTCTCTTATTAATTACACTTTGGCAGCATTGTGGCGAATGGCTTTAGAAAGATTCTGCTGTACAACTTTCATTTGTCGGCAATTCACAGTTACTTCTATGTAGATACAGAGGGTAAAATACGCATTGAATTTGCCACCATTTTTCTCAGTAAATCTGTTTCTAAAGATGCTATTGACATTGACAATGATATTGGGAAAAAGAACATGTGAAGAAAGGGAGGTGCAAAAAGGATTGAAAGCCAAGACACCAGCTGAAATCTCAACAATAGAGAAAGAAAGCAATCCTGCCCGTGGTCAGTTCAAATTAATAACAGGTGGTTCGATCCCAAATGAGCAAGCACCTATATGGAATAAACAATTGGTAAATCTAGTGTTGGAAAATAATACTTTATTGTTCTTCACAAAAAGACTGAACTGGAAATCAACAAAATAAACTGATCAGTCTCGTGTGGAACTCCAAAAACCATCAACCATCATTTACATCCTACACTTAAAGTACAAGATCGAAGACTGCTATTTGTATTTATGAGATTATTTAGTTTTATTCACATTTGTATCGAAAAGAATCTAAAGGAATCAAACTTAAGCTATAAAATTTTGTAAAATGTTCAATTTTACACAAAACCAACGCATGTACAGTTAATCAGGTGTGCATCTAAACTAGGGCTGCAACAACGAATCGATAAAATTGATAAAAATCGATTTTTAAAAGCGTTGGCAACGAATTTTATCATCGATTAGTTGTGTCGCGCGATTAATACGTCATCCGCGGCCGCCGTCATCACATCCACTTGACTGAAACGGGGGAAGAAAAAAAAAATACGGCAGAGCGAGCCAGCGCTGCAGGGCGCAGTGTTGCCAACTCAGCGACTTTTCAGACCCCTCCAGCGACAATTTTTCAAAAAAGCGACTAGCGACAAATCTGGCGACTTTTTACGGTGTCACTGGCGGCTTTTGGAGACTCTTACGTGAAAGCATGTATTGTTCCTACTCTGCCGTGAGGCGCCTCCCCCACCTCAACCCCGTTCTCCCACAGGAGTCCCTCTCAGCGCTGCAGTCAGAGCAGCAGGATGTTTACCCTCAGCGTCCAGACTGCAAATGAAGCGCGCATGCGCCGGGATTGACGGCGCAAATTGATCACAATAATTAAAATAGCCTGCGCTTTGTAAAGTGAAAAAAGTCGTAACATGCAACTTTTGTCAAAACAAATTAACATTGCACGGAAGCACCATATTTGTTTCGTTTTAAAGTGGGTAGCTCTCAGGTAGCTCATCTGATGCTTTCCTTACCGTGTTAGTAGGTTACAGACAGGGATAAGGTTGGCTACTTATTTTACTTTTAATTTCATTTGAATTAGTTTAAGCAGCGTTTATATTTTCTTTATAAATAAATTAACTTGCAAATTATGAGGGCAAGGCTTTTAAAGTTTAAATCTTCTGGCAAAGATAAAAAAAGATCCTGCAATTTATCTGTCTTTGGAGGATGTGTTTTTTAGCCCCCCTAATTCTCTCATTTTTATTCCAAATACAATTTACAATTTAAATCACAGGGCTATTTTTATCTCTATGGTTAAGTATTTTCTCAAGTAGCAACTTTAACTGCTATACTTTCCTGTCTTAAAAGGCAGAACTCTTCTAGTCTAAAAAAAACTAATTTGTTGAAATGGGGGGACCTATTGTTTGAACCCCTTAGGGGCTTTAAAAAACAAAAATGTCTTTTTTTGCGCTTTATGAAACAAACTACCCTATATTTTGTGGATGTACAGCTACATTTCTCATGTAAGTTTGCGTAGTTTTAACTCAAACATTTATTTTTCATATTGCACCAGTACAGTTAATGAGGAACCTCTACTTGTGTGCTTGTTTGTTCTGTCTAAAATGTTTATTTTGGAATAAAGAGGTTAATATAAAAAATATTTTTTGTCCAATTCATCGAGTAATCGAAAAAATAATCGGCCGATTCATCGATTTTTAAAATAATCGTTAGTTGCAGCCCTAATCTAAACAATTGCTGCCTTAACATTTTACCATGCTGGGCAAAACTGCCAAAGTTAAAAGTACCTGGGTGTCACACAAATATATAGGCCTACTAACTATTAATAAGTTAATAAAATGGCTTAAGTAAAGAAAAAGCAAAGCTCTGCTTTTATTTTTTTCCATTGTTAAGGCAACATTTAAATAGAATGAATGTGTTCTGATTCAGTTAAAACAAACCTGGCATCTATAATACATTGTAGCTCTGAATCAGACTCTCAGTTGTTATTTATTTGCCATTAATTACTATTTTATGTTACCATGTTTGGCCTAACTCTGTTTTGTTAGTAGATTCTAATCAGGTTTTAGTTAACTTTACAATATTGTGTTATGAACTTAACCAATTCTATTTTGTAAAGATTTTAAATTATGAAAGAAAAGTATTTGAATACTTTCAATATTTTAGTAAGCCAAATTTATTTCATCCTTAAATTGAAGGCCGGGGAGACTAGAAATAATTGCAAGCGCTGAAATGGCCCATTTTTACTGCTTCTGTTCTTATGCTTTCACAAGACAATAAAATAGGAGAGAGATGATCAAATTTAATAAAAGGCAATCATGTCTTTGAAATGTTCTGAGTAATCGTCAGGTTTATTTGATCTCTTCCACTTCTTGTCCTGCATGACTACGTTGCTTTAATTGACAAACAGAAGTCCAGGTTTTCCCGTCTATCTGGCTTGAAGTACTTTTTATGTTAGACCAGTTTGTCCTTTTGTCTGCCATATTGGTTTTGGAACTGCATCTCAGACATGGTTAAACGAGATCAAGATGTAAAGACACATTAGTAAAGTCACACAGGTCTGGAGTGTCTCTTAAAGAGCAGAGTGGAGAAAAACTATAGCTTAAGTTAAAAGTTAAGTAAAATAAAATAAATGCATAAACATAATGTGTTGTTTAAAAATACTGATCCCGACAGATTACTATAACTGTCGTCATCGATTACGTCGATTAGTCGTGGGAGCCGTACATGTCACTTTTATATTTTAGTGCACCACCCTTAGTGTTGTCGAGGGGATGTGAAAGAAACACAGTCTAAGAGCTGGGTGAAGTTTCCATCTTCTAACCATATGTGATCAATAAACTGGCCCTGCTGGATTTGCTTGATAGACTTTTACGTGGGAATTCACAATAAACGGAAAGCAGATGATAAAAGCGGCCAGTCAAAGTCTGCTAAGAGAACAGCAAATTTCCCGAACCCTCCTGCAGTGTGTCATGGATGTGAAGCTGGGCTTTGCTTCCTCTCTGGGTCCCGTCGGGTGATGGTCTGATTTCCTGGAGCTTTGCCATTTGCCTCAGCAGTTCGGGATTCTTGAGTTTCAAAACCAGAACTGGAAATGGGCCAACTCTGACTACTGTTTCAGATCATTACTGAGACTCTCTAACGAGAACTGATTTATGTGTTTTTTTCTATGTGTGGATACGTTTCCCGCACATATACATGTATTTACTGTATGTAACTGGTCCAGCTGGATGTTTATAGCTGGTCTGTGTGATGATGTCGTACTGTATTATAGATCATCTTATTTACCTTAGAACTGAAAAATACTAAAATGTAATGGCAAATGTTTTTAAGCAAAAGTAATTGAAATCATAATTTAAAAAATCTCATTATTTTAAGCTATTGAGAATGAAGTCTCATGTTTTTTTTTTTTTTGCCCCTCTCACATTTACTCTCCCTTTTTCTTTCTACCCTCCCTCCCCCTCCTCACTGCCTTTGTGTTCCAGTGGGTACCCCTTACTACATGTCACCAGAGAGGATACATGAAAATGGCTACAACTTCAAATCTGACATCTGGTCGCTAGGATGCCTTCTCTACGAGGTAAGCTGTTGGAATATGTGCACACTCTGTCACAGTCTGGGAGGAAATGCTTGAAGAACACACAGATCCAAACATGCACCTCAACAGATGGGCTATTTTTAACCCTGGATATTCTTTTTTTTACCCTATATCCAAAGTGATCATACCTCTTGGACTTTTTCAGATTATCTTTCATTATGACAACAAACTGTAATGAACTTTATTTGGATTTTATGTGACACACCAACACAGAGTGCTGCATAACTGTGAAGTAGAACATTTCTTTTTACAGATGGGTCTACAAGTCTTTTGAGGCTTGTCTACAAGCGTTTCTAAGCTGGAGACCAAAATGTTGGTTGTTCTTTGCAGAACAGCTCAAGCGGGTCAAACTTCGGAAAGAACACCTGTTAACATTGTTTCCCCAAGGAAATGTTGAGTTTAGGTTTATGTCCTTTATTTAATCTCCAGAGAAACCTCTATCTGATCTGGCCTGTTGCAAACTGCAAACAGAACTTCTTATGGACTTCTTTTAATAATGGATTTCTTCTTTCCTCTCTTCCAAGAACATGTTTGCTGAGTATATAATTAAAAGATTTCCTGTTGGAACATTCTTCCACCTAAGCTGTACTTCTCCACACCTATTTTGCTGCCTCTCTGTTTATCCTTTTCCTTACCCAGCCTGAATGTGTAGATAACCATATATAGTAGTAGCCATTCAAACTGTCCAAACTTTCCTTGATGGGCCCTTGGCTGGTCCCCTACAATTCCTTCTTAAACACTAATCTTTATATTAAAATATTTTTTCTGTCATGATTTGTTTTGCTTTCCCTGTTAGGGCTAGCATACACTGTACGGTTGTTTCGGTCATTGCTCTCAGCTACAGCTCAAACTGTGCTTAGACTTAGACAAACTTGAGTGTATATAAAACGAAATTTCGATGCATAGAGCTTTTCAATGGTGAATTAGCAGCTTAGCGGTGAAATGAACATTTCCATTTATAATGTATGAAGGAGAGACATGGTGCAAAAGGCATTGATGTGGAAGGTTCAGAGCAGTGCAAACATAAATAAAGATGCGTTCAAGAGTGGCAGTATTTACAAGTCCAGAAAAGATACTTGATGACGTAGCTCCAGCAGGCGCTGGCGGTCAAAGATACAGGATCATTGCACAGTTTGCAGCGTGCTAGGCATCATATGAGCTGATGCAGCTGCTGCCTCTTCTGGTGCCCCCATCTTGCAAAGATGTGTGACCAAACCAAAGGGTTTAAAAGATCACAGTTCATGATATCGATATCTTGCACTGTATGGCATGATGCGCTTATGCGATCTGACTGCTCACACTGTATGTTATAAATCCACGCATCGGATTCGCCGTCATAGAGAAAGAGGGCTGGTCGGACTCGACTACCCTGAAGTAAAGTCAGAGAAGAAAAAGCACTCCCTTATTTGCATGTGCACAGTAAATCGGCTCGTAGTCCTGTTTGGGACTGTACTTTTCTCAAACAGGACTTTGTTGTTCGAGGCTAACCACACCTTGTTACCCCCTGTATACTGCACAATGCAAGGAAGAAAGATGAAGCTAAAAACTCAGCCCGATGCAAAACATTCTCAATTACTGAAAAATCATCTCAAAAAGACCCACCCCAAGTTGTTAACAGGTTGGGATATTGTTTTTATAACCAAAAAAAACCCCAATAACATTGTCCTATTTCTTAGACTTCTCAACACTTCACTTCTTAGTTGTTGTTTTTTTTTTTAAATAAATATACTACTAAAACACATTTAATGTTTGTGAAAGAACAAAAAGGAACATTTAAGGGACTTAAATAATTTTGCATTGCACTCTACTTTAAAAGGTTTTCCATAATTTTTACAGTAAGTATTTTGAACAGCTTAACAGGAAAAATCTTTAGTTGTATAAAAAATCTGCTTTTCCTTTTTTGTGCCGTTCGTGAGCTTGTGAGGGCCCTGAGACTCTGTGTTTACATTATTTGAAATAGAGAACCTGCTGAACATTGAAAAGCTTGTGGATGAAGAGAGCTGACATGACCATGTGTTTTAGATAAGGCTGCACGGTGACACTGACTAGTTTGATTAGTCGAGAGCAAAGCGCTGCAGGCTTTTTTTCTGAACCGCACTGAGTGGAGACAAGCCGAGCTGGAGACCACACAGCAGAGGGAACAAAGAGGGGAAGAGTAAGAGACAGAATAATGATGGATGTGGACGACAACAGGCAGTCTGACCTTGCGCTTTAACAGCTTTTAGATGCCCTTGCTACTCATATATGGGCCCAGATTCAGACCTAGATCGTTGATGCAGGACGTGCCCACATTCACCTCTCTTCTTCTACTAGCCCTCATGAGTTTTGGTTGGTTTGAGCTGCATTTTAACGCATCACTGACTGCACCTTCTTCACAGTGCCTCGGGCGTAGAGGTGGAGAAAGAGAATGGAAGAAGTTTGAGCTCAGCTTGTAGGGCACAGGTTCACAGGTGCTTCACGGTGAAAATTGTGGGTGCTGTACTTCAGCAGCTGAACAACAACAGCACCTCTGCTGCAAAAGGAAAAACATTTTTTTATCTGACCCACTTTTGAACTCAGAAATCTGATCACTCACTTCAATCAAACTTCCAAAGTTTCTGTTTATTCTTATGTAACTTTCTTTTTTTACTTACAAACTAAATATTTAACACAGGAGATTAGAGGTCATTGTCTGAAGTGCTAAGCTTTCATTTTTTAGTCCTGGTTATCAAGGTTAGCACTTTAAGTTAAACATTCCTGTCTATTTTTTGGACTCCTACTTTTTAGAAAGACGGTACGTGATGTTTAAGTTTAGAGAGCAGCCTCATAAAGATTCAACAGAGAAAATACTCTGTTACTTAGATGATAACTACTGTTAGGTTTCTGTGACTGGCTAAAGCTTAGCTTCCTAGCTTCATAGCATCACCAATGGAAGTAGCTTCTCTATTTAATCTGTTTAAGGATAGAATCAAACTTCTCATATCCTTCTCTGGTGGAGGGAAAATATGTACATCTCACCTAAAGATTTAGATTGCCTCTATTAAAGATCACTTTGTCCTTTTATGTCAAGCATTTCAATCTGGTGACATAAAGAACTTCTGTGCCTGCAGAGCATGGTGCTGGGGTTGTACAAAAGAAGTGCAACCTAAACTTTGCAATGTGTGTAAGATAACGTATGGATTTCACCCTAAATCTGTATGAGCTTGGTGTCATGATCCTGCAGGCTGTCCAAAAACTCTCAGTTCTTAAATTGCAAAAGAAATAAAAACATTTTTTTGGATATCGATGTGTTTGTCAGTTCAGATGAAGCATGGAGGATCTTCACCATGCAAGCCCATGAAGTGTGCTGCTGCTGTGTTTGCTTTGTCAGCATATCCCTGGATCTCCCTTAGAGCACCACAGCATATTGCCCGTTACATTTCTGTGGTTTGCTTTGAGATGACCTTGGAAAGTCTTGTGTATCACAGAGTTAAAGTATGATCTGAAAGAAGCCAATGATGATCGATCCTCTTGTAGTTTAAGATGCATCAAACAATAGACTGACCAGTTTTCCCACGATCAGCTCTTGACGATTGGTCAGCATGTAAACTGCAAAGAGATCCGATTAAATTTTTCTTATTTCTCTCCCAATAATTTAGAAATGAATGCATGAAGCATGTAGTTTCATTTGCTTAATTTGATAAAAATCTGATATAGTTGAGCAATATTTATTGATGCAAATAGGGGAATAATTTGAAATTTAGAAAACATAGAGGTATCACCATTGTCAAACAACCTGTTTCCTATTTCTTGTTATATGTAATTTAAAATCAGATTTGGGACAAGAAAATTTCAGGATTGGCAGGTGAGATTTAAATACAAGACATTATTAGCTAAAACTATAAAGCATTGTTATTTTAAACATTGTAAAATCAAGCTATGAAAGGTTTGATTTTTTTATGTGCAAATATAGTTCAAAAGTTTTGATGTTTTTGTCAGAATCTGGACTAAATCATAAAAAACCGAGTCTGAGAGGAAAGGGAAAAAAGGAAGAAATCTGGAGAGAAAAATGTATAAAAAAATAGTCGACTTGTCGCTCCCAGAGGAGATGGAGAGACAAAGAATCGAGATGTAGGGCGAAGAAGTTTGAGAATCTATAAAGAAAACTAAGAAAGGTTAAGGGCATAAGCAGAAAAAGTCATGAGAGTGAAGCTAAAGGAGACCGAAGACTAGAGATCGGGGAAAAGTAGAAAAGTGGAAAGAGAGAATAACAAATAGGGAGAGTTGGGTTATGGATTTCTGTAGCGAGGAGAATGATGGGGGGTTTTCATTTAGAGAGAACTTGTTACAGGTACAAGAGTAGAGACGGCGCTCCCCCTCATCAGGTCAAGGTGAGTCATCCAAGAAGCCTGTGGAGATAAAGATTTTACATTCTTATTGTTACCAGAGCGATACTCACCACACCATGCATATTCTCTTTGAAGAACAGGCTCGTGCTTCCCTCTTTTCTTAGCAAGACAGCTCCACAGTACGTAGCATCTTTTTCAGAACTTAAGCCTGCATTCCTCTCTGCTTTTCTCTAAGTTCTGTAAAGTTCCCTTCCACATGCCTACTTTCCCTCACTTAACCTCCAGGCAAATGGAATTCACATAGAAATTCACTTCTGATTCCTTTGTTCCTCATTGATTTCACTAGCAAAGCACAGTTGGGAATGAAGATCGGACTGTTTTTTTGGGTGCGTTTTCTCATCTATGAATGAGTGCAGGGATTTTCGTTCCTTGTGTGTGAAGCGGCTCCGTTTGAGGGAGCCTGCATTTTTCATTCCTACGCCCGGGGGTTGAGCTGAGGTCCGAAGGGTCTGCCCCGTCAATACCTCACCATTGTATCTGCGTCCATCTTTATCTTCCATTCTGTTTGATCCCTTTCTCTTCATGTCCAACTTTATTACATCCCCTGACCCCGCACCCTGCCCTTCACCCAAACCCACTATGGCGTGCTAAACAGGGGTGCATGTTGGGATGTCT